TCTGCTGATGGCTCAGGCTCTTCTGATGGTGATGATGATGGTGATGGTGATGATGATGGTAGTGGTGATGATGATGTTGGTGGAGGAGATGACTGATTTGAGTTTATTTATGGATGTTTTTATGTTCTCTTCCAGTTTATAAAACTTGATAACTCTGTTTTAGCTTGAGTGTAATAACTCTTATTAAGTGTGGATTCATGTGAACTTTTATGTATGGGTTGATACCTGTTGGAACAATCTATGTTTTTTGTTGTTTCAAAATACTTATGTGATGATTTGTGACTTATTATGTTTAGTTTGTTTCTTCTATGATAAATGATCAATGCATAGTTAAAACTATTTTCATGTTTTAGTGTGTGGAAAATAAGTTGCTTTCAATAAGTTCCTTGTTTTATGTAAGGTTTATGATTATTTAGTATGCTTAGCTCCTTTACATACTCTTTAGTGTCATTTATTATATTTGACAGGGGGAGCCTTTAACATACACTTCTTTATTTATCTATGCTTATAAACAGGGGGAGCTTTGCTCCTATCTTTCATTTTTCCCTTTTTGATGTTGTCAAAGGGGGAGAAAAATCCACATATAGTTCATATAGATCATATACTTGCTCCATATATGGTTAATGTGCTCTTTCATTGGTTCATATGATCATTCATATATGATTTGTCTATGTTTGGCTTATATGTGGGATTATCAGTTTATTGTGTTCATATTAAATTGTTTGCCATCATCAAAAAGGGGGAGATTGTTGACCCTATAGTTTTGATGATGATTTGGCAAACAATTTATTACTAATAAGTTTTCTAGTGTTTTTGTGTTTATGGTTTCTTTTCAGGTATTTCAACACAAGTCAGTCAAGCGTTAAAGATTCAAGTTCTATTGTGTGGTTTTACCTAGGTATATTGTTTAGTTTACTTACATATATTGTATGATTATATCTAAGCTCAATATATGTACACTTAACACGATTTTTGATGTTTTCTATCATATAAATGATTTCTCATCAAACGTTGTTACAATAACTCTTCTCTCATGCTTACAGCTCTTTAATATTTCATTGTATACATAGAATATATGCATAACATATATAAACATATTTACAAGTTCTATATTGACTTTCACTTTCATATAAAAACAGGTTTTCTAAGCAGTTTTCAAAAAAAACGGGTAGTTTTCACAAACGAAAATTGATTTTCCAAAAATTTATTTTCAAACATGTTTATTTTATCATTTAGAAACTTTTCCCAAAGTTTCATTATTTTTGGATTCAATTTGATATTTTTCATGGATTTTCTAATCAGCCCCAAAACCTGGATATGTGCATATATCAGATTTCGGTCGACCGGTACGGTCGACCGACAGTTGTTCCTTTTCTAAGAAAATTTCCAGAGAGTTTTCCGGTCGACCGGAATTTCCATCGGTCGACCGAAATTTCCATTCGGTCGACCGAAATTTCCATTCGGTCGACCGAAAATTTCTGTCGGTCAACCGCCAGCTTTAAAAGTTCATTCTCTAGGTTTTTGAACTAAGCGGTCGACCGGACCAGTCGACCGCCGAGTTGTCAGATAGTGTGTAACGGCTAGTTTTTTCAAATGGGTCTTTTGGTCTTTTACTTCGAGTTGTCAGATAGTGTGTAACGGCTAGTTTTTTCAAATGGGTCTTTTGGTCTTTTACTTATTTCTAGATGTTGTTTTGGGGTGCTATATATACCACATTGCTGCTCTTCTTCTCTAACAACTAAGAAATCCAAGTTTGTTGTTTAACAAGATATTAATCGCGTTTAAGAGCTGTTTAAGAGTTGTTTCGTTAATCAGTTTTCAAGAGAGGCTTTCAAACCCTATTGGAATCATCATTTCTTCAGCTCTTCTTGTTCATTGAGAAGTTTTCTAAACTCTTTCCTATATAGCTTATTATTTCACTTTCATTTGATTAAGCTATATTCATTGAGTTATATTTATTGAGTTTCATTCACTATTATCACACACACTTATTGAGCTTGATATTCTCATATTATATATTGTGGGTTGTAGTGTGGGATTTAGTGAGTGTGAGCTTTATTGTGTTCTCACTTGTTAATTGAGAACAAATCATTGTATTGAACCTTTATTTGTGAGATTCACTTGTAACACACTTGTACACCGAGAGAAGTGTGAGGAGAGAGAGACGGGGTCAAATCCAATAGGAGTGGCGTCGATTGACGAACCTAGGGAGAAGTTGTAATCGAGCACTTGAGGAGGAGGACACGGGCTAGGTTCCTACACTTAGTGTGTAAAGTGTGATTGTTGAGTGATTGTGTAGTGTGAGAGTTTTCGGTGAACTTGTAAACCGAGTGTGTAGAAGTTCCGGCTTCCAAACCAGATTGTGATATTAGATATCTCCTCGAGGTGAGGAGCGGGGACGTAGGTCGTGGGGACCGAACCTCATAAACATATCGTGTGTTTGTGTTTTGCTTAGCGCACTCTTATTCATCATTATTGTTCATATTCATATCTTGCAAGATCAAATTAATCAATATATTTTTAATTGGTATTTAATCGGATTAGATTAACATAAGACCCTAATCACCCCCCTCTAGGGTCTAACAGGTTCTACCAACTTAGCGATCCTCATGGGAGCTTGAGGATAGGTGATTCTCATGATATTTTGAGAATAGTGGTGTGAAGCGACACGACGGAGCACAGGATGGATGATACGGGTGCATCTTCTCTTCGGGAGCTTAGCGATCCTCATGTGAGCTTGAGGATAGATGATTCTCATGATAGCATGAGAATAGGGGTGTAAAATAGTACAGTGGAACACAGGTGGAATCGTGGAACGAGACGACGAGCAACAGATTCGAAGAATCCAGATTTCAGCCTGTGAGTCGACTCATACATGTACATGAGTCGACTCATCAGGTTGAGTCGACTCATGCCTGTCATGAGTCGACTCAAGAACTCAAGCCCTGTTCGTTCATCAGTTATGAGTCGACTCATATGAGGTCATGAGTCGACTCATAACTGTTCATGAGTCGACTCATCGAAGGTTTCCTGGTTCGTTTGGGTTTCTGTTTGCACGAATTTCTGTTGGGGTTTGGTCTGGTTATTTAACAGATTGCCATCCACGTTTATACACCTATATAAAGGGTTGTTTAGGGTTTCTAAACATCATCTGAAATCAGAGAGAGTTTAGTCAAGAGAGATTAGATTGTAATTGAGATTTGGAGAGCTTGTTCTTCAATTCTAGAGTGAGATTGTGAGAGATTGTAAAGTGCATACTCATAATCTAGAGAAGGTATTTTCCTTCGTCCAAAATCTGAGCTATTCTTGTGTTCTTATTGTTTTCTCCTTAACCCACCTTTGATAATTCCGCGATCAAAGGTGCTCGCACGGCAACTCGTATCAGTTAAGAAGGGGTTAAGTCTCCTTAACCTCTCACTTAATTACCCTTTGCCAAATGGTACCTTAGTCAATTGCAAATAAGTACTGCCAGCCTATTTTGTCGCCAAGCCTTTAAACAATCAAAGGTTTGACTGCGGTACCACAATCTTAAAATTAATGTTAAGCATTATATTTCTCAAAGGCAGTACTCCTAAATCTATCCTTGCTCGACGGTGTCACAATTACAAAAGTAAATGAAACTGAAATTCCGTATACACTAGTAGAAAACCACGTATTCTAGACGGAATATTCTAGACGGAATTTTTTCCGTCTAGAATGTATTAAACTAGACGGAAAATTTCCGTCTAGAATATTCCATCTAGAATAAAACATTCTAGACGAAAATTTTCGTCTAGAATAGTATTCTAGACGGTTGTTTTATTTTTATTATTTTTTTAAAATTTTCGCGTATCCTAGACAGAAATTTCCGTCTAGAATGTATCCTAGAAGGAAATTTCCGTCTAGGATACGTGGAAATTAAAAAAAAATAATAAAGCGTCAAAACCCCAGTCCCCTTCTTATTTTCCCCCCAAATCGAAATTTCAGCGCCTCCCCACCCCCAAATCCTCAACTCCTACTCCTCCCTCCACCGCCTCCCCCTCCTCACCCTCTCCCTCCTCAACCTCACCCCCGACCCCAGCGGGCAAGTGCTTTCCTCGTGCTCGCCCAGTCCGCTTCCTCTCTGTTGGCAGGTATAAAGCCCTAACCCTAGCTCATTGATTCTTTTGCTTTCATAAAAATTCTTTTTTCCCTTTTTCTTTGAGCAGCAAGATTGAGGTGCAGTGGAATTCGACCAGATGATCATCCTATCAAAACTGAGATTGTAAGAATTTATCTCGATTTTATCGTCTAATATTTTTGTGGGGTTAGTTGTTTTCTTCTAAGAGATTGATAATTAAGCATATGTGTTTAAATCGTAGGAGAGATTGAGCTTGTGTGAGGGGAAATTGGAGCGATTTGGTAATTGGAACTAAGGTATTCTACTTTTGTTGTTAATTTATCTCATTCAAAAGACGTCTTCTCAGTCTTTTGAGTTTTGACTCGGCTCTTCATGAATTTCTTTATGAGGGTAAGGCTACTGTCTGGATGTTATACTGTAGTACTTAAAAAAAAACTTTCCTTCCCTTGATTAGCTGTGTGCATTGCTTGTCTATATGAAACATGCCATTACTTGACTTCTCTACCAATTAATTTGTTTTCATTTTCTTCTTGCATACATAATCATGCTTCATGTTCTGTATTCATTTCTATCTATTTCAGTTGCAAGAATAGTAGCAGAAATGTTTTGTGCTATCGATTTTTTTAATTACCTTATCTTTCCCTGGAAAAAGACATGTTTCCTACTATGTCGACATAAATTGAATGTTATACTATAGTTTATCCTCTAACTTGGCCATACCTTCTGTCTTTAGATTTCCTAATAAAGTGGCAGAGATATGTTTTCGTGACTTTAAGTTTAAGATTTAGATTTTCTTTCAATTAGAATATGACTTAATTTGCTAAAGTTATGTTTTCTTTGATGCAGGAGAAGATAGAATCTGTAACAGATATACTTAAGGAAATTCTAAACCCAATAGTCTCTGAAGCTGAAGAAGTTTCATGGCCTCCAAGGGATCCTGAAGCTCTCATATTGATGGAAAAAGTAAATCACTGGTTTGGAATTTATCTAAATCAAGTTGCCTACCTATTTCAACAGTAATACTTACTTTTAATTAATACCTTACATTAGTCCTTAGTTATGTTCATCTCAGTGCAGACTCTTAGTTCAATTCTTACTCTTAAGGAAAAGTTTGAATTATTAATATGAGACCTGGATATACTTCTATTATTAAGCGATAGAGGGTTCAAGATAACATAATAAACATGGAAATTGGGAAATGCTAATATGGATGTGTAGAAGAACTGGAGAACGTAAGTATTAAACTTGTACATCATGTGAGAGTTGGTTTTTGTAGTTGTTGGCAATAATGTCTCAGGTGGCATCATGTGAAGTGATGTTCTATGAGTGCCTTCCAGATGTGTAATAAAGAGTTATGGTGTTCTTAACTGGTCAGGGATAATTTTACTCCTAAAATAATATGTATAATTTGCAACTGAACAATTTCTATTTTGCTAGTAGGATTTGATTTGAAACTCAAAATCAACACCAGAGGAGAGCCTTAAATTAAGAAGTTTAGAAGTGTTATAGAGACATAATTATCATTAGATGTTTCTTTTCTTTCTGTTGCCTACTATCTCCATATCATGTACATCAGTCCATTGCAATATAACATTTCTTTTCTACCTGCTAGTGCATTTACCATGTTAGTCAATGCTCGATTAAGTTTCTAATAGTCTTGACATAATTATAAAAGTAAATTGGAGAGGAAGCTCTCGGAGGCAGCAGGGAGAGAGGTGGTTCTTTGGTTCATGGAAGAGAAGGCAGATGACATCACGAAGCAGGTAAAAGAAATTAAACCTATTCAGAGTTCTGCTGATTTTGGGAAGTTGAGAAATGCAAATTTAAGATTATGTAGTTACAAAAGTTTGAAATTATCAGAATGAAAGTAACTTAATATGAACTGAATATTTCTTTAGTTAGATTGGAAATATTTCTATACTCTTGTTGTGTTACATTAACATTGTTTTAACATTACTATGTTTAGTCATTGTGTATATAGACGTGTCTGCGCAAACTCAATGTCAACATAATCAACTAGTGATAGTTTGGCTTGGATGATTTTAAGTTTGTAATGAAGTATATGGACTCTCACACATTGAACACCTCAGGTTTAATGTTTAACTTGTGCTCAATTCTTAACTCCCTAAATTTGATTATTGGAAGAGCTATTAATTAAGTCTCCCAATTAATTCTTAACTTGCTGTGATATTAGTTTTTCAAATCACTGGAATTACTAATAAGATGGGTTAATTCTTAAGTTCGTGTGGTATTAGTCCCTGCTTTGATATTTTCAAATCTGTCAGTTATATAGAACACGTAGCTAATGATTTTCATGTTTCTTGCTATATCATTGTCGTGCTTGCTTATGTGAATGTCTTCTGAAATCTGTTGTCTGGTCATGACCTTTTGAGATCACAGTACTTGTTGAGATGCTCTAGTATATGCTTAGTTAACATCATGTTGTTAAGAGGTTTTTTGTATTCTCAGTGAAAACAAACTTATGCAATAAGACTTCCTAGAGCTCTTGTGAACAACTTATGCAATAAAACTTATGCAATATTGTATTCTCAGTTGTAACAGTACTGATCTACTTTAATATTTTTGAGGGAAACTTATATTTTTATTTGGTTTATCAGATAAATACTTGCAATGGTTTTTATTGTGATAGCTTCAAGCCAAACAATGAAACGAGTCCTAAGATGTGGACAGAAAATTGGACTGGTTGGTGGGTATTTTTCTAAAATTTTCTTTTATATTTTTATTTCTTATGTTTTTTCTGTATTTATATTATACTTTTGATGATTATACGTATTCACAGTTTTAAAAGTTGGGATTCACCAGATCCTCATAGGCCCGCAGAGGATGTAGCTTTGGTTGTTGCTCGATTTTTCCAAAGAGGAGGAATTGTGCGTAATATTGTGCGATGGAGCATACAGAACCTCTTGTAAATAATTTATGTAAAAGTTTGTAAACAATTTATGTATCCAGAACCTCTTGTAAATAATTTATGTAAAAGTTTGTAAACAATTTATGTATCTCTCTACTATTTTGGTGGATGTATTATTTGAATATAATGGGATTTGATATTGGAATATAATTAGATTGTGTTGGATATGAATATAATTTTTTGTTGTTCAATATTGTGTACATGCACCCAAAGGAGATTCTGCAAAAAAAAAAAAACTACTGTAGCATAGTATCCTAGACGGAAATTTCGTCTAGGATACTCAAATTCCGTCTAGGATGTTTTTTTTTAAAATTAAAAATTAAAAAAAATTAAAAACATCAAATTCCGTCTAGAATGAGTATTCTAGACGGAAATTTCCGTCTAGAATACTCATTCTAGACGGAATTTTTTTCCGTCTAGGATAAATTATTCTAGACGGAAATTCCGTCTAGAATAATCCGTCTAGGATGTATTTTAGACGGTTTTAAATTCCGTCTAGAATATTCCGTCTAGGATGTATTCTAGACGGAATTTCCGTCTAGAATAATTCATCCTAGACGGAAACATACTAGACGCCTATTCTAGACGGAATTCCGTCTAGAATACGCATTCTAGACGGAATTCTGGGTATCCTAGACGGAATTTTCCGTCTAGGATACCTCATTATTTAGCAGTGATATATATATTGTCTCATTGGGCATAGTGCTAAGCATATGAGTTATTAATGGTGTTAATTACATATGTCAGATTTTCTACTTCTTCATTGCCAGATATTTCCCATATTCTTCTTGCACTAATTCTCGACAAGTATAGGGTCCCGTATGTCCAACATATTGACCCCAAATTCCGACCAACCTATCTAGCAATCAGAGATGCATGTCACTTAACATATTGAATAAGAAATTTATTTCCTAATCTCCCTAGAAAAGGAAGCATCATCGTCCCCCAAACATTTAAAATCCAAACTTTCTAAGTATATTTGACATATTGAAAACTTTCTCAGATTGTCTCTAAGTTGATTTATAGCAACATAATGTTCTTGACAAGAGTAATTTCCTGAAATGATATCCTATTGTTAATCCAACATGTTCGAGTATGGAATTGAAGTGTCTTATTCTAATTTTGAATTAATGCGTCAAATAGAGCCAACAAACTTCTAAAAAGAATTCTGTACAGAATTCCAACCTCTTCATGAACATTCCAATTAATTCACATAAGTCAGACCTCTTCTCAAAATTGTTGGAGTTGCGGAAGCGAGATACGTAATTGATTTAGTTTTAGAGGATTGAGAATGGAGGAAGTAGAAGGGAAATGAAGAGTTGGAAGGGAAGAGGCTAGCTTGAAGAAACTTTGTTTTAATTTGCTTCAAAGCTTGTTACAAATGCTTACATCCATTGCCTATTTATAGGCTCACAAGGAATTCTCTACAATGTTTAGATTTTTCATGATACATAAAGTTTCTAGAGAATTCTATATAATTCTATTTTCTACATACATCCATGATTAATATATCTACTTCCTAGATTATTCTAGACATTTCTAGTTTACATGTTTTTTACAAATATCCTAGAGTTTTCTAGAATTACAAATTATCTTTTAACACCCGTCCTTAATTTGTAATTCATTACTCATTTCTGAATAGTGTAAACTTTTTGGAGGGTAATGCTTTCGTGAAGACGTCTGCTAGCTGCTCATTTGTTGAGATGAACTCTAGCTCAATCTCCTTATCTTCGACGAGCTTTCTGATGTAATGATGACGAATCTCAATATGTTTGGTTTTGGCATGAAAGACTAGATTCTTTTTCATGGCTATTGCAGACTTGCTATCATAGTAGAGAGTAGTTGGTGACTCTTGGTCTTGTTGTAAATCAGATAAAATCCTTCGAAATCATACTGCTTCGCATGCGGCATTTGTAGCTGAAATATACTCTACTTTTGCAAATGAGAGGGCTATGATCAGTTGTTTCTTTGAGGTCTAGGATATTACCTTAGATACTAGAGTGAAGACATATCCTGAAGTGCTTTTGCAATCATCAATACATCCAGCCTAGTCGTTGTCAGTGTAGCCAGATAATGTATTGTCTTCTTCTGTTGTGTATTTTATTCCATACTCTTTGTACCTTAAAGATATATCAAAGAATCTGCTTCGCTGATCCATATTTTAGCTTACTTGGATTGCTCATGAATCCGGACACAATGCTTACAACATACAATTAATCTAGCCTAATATTTGTGAGGTAGATTAGCGATTCTACTAGGCTTCTATAACTTAGGCATCCACCTTTGGCGCTTCATCGTTCATTGATAGCTTTTTATTTAGCAATGTTGGTGTAGCTACTAGATTGCAATTCTTCATGCTGAACCTCTTCAGAAGATCTTCGCAATACTTCTCTTTATTGATGAATATTTCTCCTTCAGTTTGTTTTACTTGTAGTCCTAGAAAATATCTCATTAATCCTAAATTTGTCATCTCAAAAAATCTTCTTTCATCTACCTTTTAAATTCTTCAATCATCATAGTGTTAGTGCCACAATAAATTAAATCATCAAGATATAGGCAAAAGATAAGGAAGTCTGCACCTTTTTCCTTCACATATAGAGACGGTTCACTCGGGCTCCTTTGAAATCCATGCTTGTGGAAGTAGTTGTCAATTTTGCTATTCCAAGCCCGCAGTGCTTGTTTTAACACGTATAGTGCTTTGTGCACCTAATAAACTTTGTTTTCTTCTTTCTTGACTATGTAGCCCTGTGGTTGCTCGACATAGACTTCCTCTTCGAGTACTTCATTTAGGAATGCTGACTTGACATCTAGCTGAAATACTTTGAGCTTGAGTTTAGTTGCTATAGCCAATACCGTCCTTATGGTCTCCATACGAGCAACTGGGGCAAATGTCTCATTGAAGTCAACTTCTGGTTGTTGAGAGTAACCCTTCGCGACTAATCGAGCCTTGAGTTTCTGAACGGAGCCATCTTCATTGTACTTAGTTTTGTATATCCACTTAAGGCCAATGACCTCTTTTCCTTTTGGAAGATTCACCAGCTCCCATGTCTTTTTCTTCTCGATCATGTAGATTTATTCATCCATTGCTTTTATCCAACCTTCATCTTGAACAGCTTCTTCAAATTTCTATGGTTCACAGGAGAAGAATGTTACGTCACAGGAGTCATAAATATCTTGAAGTGAACTTACCTTTCTTGGTAGTGAATCTGTGTCTAAAGTTGATGCATCTGAGGATCTTGGACTAGGAGAATCTTGATATGATGTGGCTCCCCTCGTTTCTTCTTCAATGATGCTTGATGTTGAGGTTTGATGTGGTTCACCATTCCATATTCCTGCTTCATCGAAGATAATATTTCTGGAGACCACCAATTTGTTAGTATCAGGATTGTATAATTTGTAGGGTTTGGATTCTTCATTGTAGCCAATAAAGATGAATTTTTCTCCTTTATCATCAAACTTTTCTTTTCTTAGCTGTGATGGTTTTTGTGCATAGGCGATACAACCAAATACCATAAAGAAATCCACTTTTGCCTTTAGCCTATACCAAGCTTCATACGGCGTCTTGTTTGGCATAGCTTTCATTGGTGATCTATTCAAGATGTAGACTGTTGTATATACTACCTTAGCCCATAGTTTGTTTGGGAGATTGTTTACTTTTTAACATGCTTCTCGCCATCTCCACAATTAATCTATTTCTTCTTTCTGGTACTCCATTTTGTTGTGGAGTGTACCTTGTTGTTAGCTCCTTTTTAATTCCATGTTTTTTATAGAAATTTTGAAATTCATTGGAGGTGAACTCTCATCCATGATCAGTTCTTAGAACTTTCAATTTGTGGCCACTTTGCTTTTCAACAAGAGCCTTATACTCAATAAACTTTGAGAATACTTCTGATTTTGCTTTTAAGAAATATAAGAAATATCTTCTTCCATTTAATGATGGGGTTTGTGTTGGGCCACAAACATCAGAATGCACTAATTCTAACGGGGTTTTTTGCTCTCCAAGATGCTTTAGTAAATGGTAAGCGATGCATTTTTCCATAAATGCATCCTTCACAATTTTTTCTTCTTTATTTATGTGTGGGAGTTATATCACCATATTCTTCATTTTTAGCAAATTTAGACTCTTGAAGTTTAAGTGGTCATATCTTTGATGCCATAATAAAGAATCATTATTTTCTTTTGATTTGAATTCAAGATTCTCTATAGACATTTTCAAGGGAAAACTTTGTTAGGAGCCATTTTTATTCTAGCCACTATTTGCAGCTTATTATTATCATCTATTATCACACATTCATTCTTAAACAAAATGATTACATAACCTTTCTAGATTAATTGTCCCACACTAAGTAAATTTTGATTCAGCCCGGGAACATAAAGAGCATCTGAGATGTATTTCGTCTTACCTCTCTTTGTCTGGACTGCTATCACTCCCTTTCCTTTAATGTTTTTTAATTTTCCGTCTCCAAACTTTATTTGAGAGCTTGCTCTATCCATCAGCTCTACGAAGCTGCTCTTATTTTCTGTCATATGATTGATGCATCCACTATCCAAATACCAAGTCTCCTTTTCTTCTGATTGTGCATTAAAACATGAATAAAATATGTGATCATATGTGTTATGTCCAGACTTCATTATTCTTTTGATACCAGCAATTGTTTTAGGAGTGATTAGTATTTCTATAGTTTGTACATTTAAATTTACAATTATATGTGTTATGTCCATACTTACTACATATTTTCCAATAGGAGGTAGGCTTACCTTTTGAGAAATTT